GACCCTGCACCAGAGAGAGAAGGGAGTGAGGAAATGAGCTGTGCAGATTCCTGGGAAGACCTTCCAGGCAGGCAGACCAGCCAGTCATGTGCAACGCCCTTGGGTGGTGCATCCCTGGCACAGCTACAAAACCATGCTGAAGAGAGTGGAAGTGAGTGAGAAGTCAGAGTGGAAGCAGGTAGAGGACAAAACAGGGGCCACAGACACTTACATTTTATAAGAACTGTGTGTAGACAACTGACTGTAATGAGGGGGGTCAAAGACTGAGGCAAAAACTCAGTGGAGATGCCAATGACCCCCTCAGGTGAGATGAGAAAGCTTGGTGCAGCAGATACCATGAAAAGTGGGCCGGTACTGAGTGCACTTTGAAGGAGGCAGCTACCCAGAATGGAATAGAGTGTAAAACGAGAAAACAAACTAAAGACTTTGTCCTGGGGAAATGGAATAATAGAGCTGGGGTTGGCAGGAGGAAGTGGCTGGAGTGTGGGGAAAGCAGGAGTTTAGATCTGCCAGGTGTGAGGGTCTATTAACAGCCCGTGGAGACAATGAGCAGGCAACGAGATGCTTGTGCCTGCAATTCTGGGAGTACTGGCTGGATTTAGGACTTCAGGAGATGTGGGCACATAAAGCTGAGAGGCTGGTGACTGAGTGCAGACAGGTCTCTGAGGACTGAGCCCTGGTGCCATCCAGTATTCAGCTTTGGAGGAGTCAAGAGTAACCAGTAAGAGGTATGTGAGGAATAAATTAGGAAAAGCACGGTATCTTAGACGCTAAGTGAAGGAGATGCTTTAACAGAAGGAACTGACCATTCAGTTTGGTCACAGTAGGACTTAGCAACTTTGAGAAACAGTGCTGGTGGATGGGGCAGTGGAGCAGAGAGACTGGAGACCCAGAGCTTTTGACCCTTCTCAAGACTCAGCAAATGAGAGCACACTGAGGAATCAGAGGCAGAGTACCTGGGCCCAAATCCACATTCTTCCATTTATCAGCCCTGTGACCACAAGCAGGTCACTTAATCTTTATGTGACTCAAGATTTCTCACCCGAAAAACAGGGTTAGTAATTGTACCTGTTCTCTGATATATGAGAACAGAATCTGGTATGTCTTATGTACAATGTAAGCATTAGCTTTCATCACCATTACCAGGAGTAATGGCAAAATAATTGCATGTGAAAAAAATAAGTACAGGAAGAAGATCATCAGCTTAGGAGGCCAGGAGATGTTGGAAGACTGAAGAGAGATGAGTCATGAAATAGCTGTCCAGGTGGGGACATGAATGCCCTAGAGAGCTGTGTGTCTGGCTCACAGCATAGGCCCACCTGAGGGTAGGGTCACACATCTTAAAGCAAGGTGGCCAACTGCACAGGTGCAGGTAGGGAGGAGGTGAAGCTTAGACTGACTCAGGCCAGCAGGGAAGAGAGAGAAAGATGATGGCGATGGCAAAGGACCTGACATAGAATCTTGGAAGCTAAGTGAAGGCAGTGCTTTGAAGGAAGAAAGAGATACCCTGTTGCTAGTCAAAGAACTCACGTGACCCCTCTAGGACAATCTCCCCTCTCCACAGCTTTCTGTTCCCCAACACACAGAATTCAGGATCAGAAAACGACTGAATTCTCAGTCCTGTGGCTTCCTCTAAGTCCCACCCCTCCCTTTTCTGTTCAAATTTTACTATCACATTTCTCAGGCCAACTTATAATCAGATGCTTTATTGCTTGGTAAGAATATGTCTAGGTTCTGAGCTACCTGGAGAATAACACAACTTTGTTTTTAACTAGTTGACTTGAAGCAATTAAACCATGGAAAGCACAAAGATGATGACTAAATAAGAAGAAAATGGCTTGAAATTCTGTAAGAGGCTCCTCTTCTTCATAGTGCTGGGGATTGAACACAGGGCCTCACGTGTGTTAAGTAAGCACTCTACCACTGAGTTACATTCCCAGCCCCAAAATGGCTTTTGAACAGTTATATAACAACAAACACAACATAAATTGAAATAAAAATTTACAAATATGTTCCACTATATACTCTGTTATTTTGTTTTATTCTGTTAAAAAAAATAACCCAGTCCAGGTGCAGGTTAACAGATAAATGGATAAAGAATGTGAGGAATATACACAATTGAGTTTTAATCAGCTAGAAAAAGGAATGAAATTATGGTATTTGCTGTGAAATGGATGGAACTGGAGAATATCATGCTAAGTAACATAAGCTGGACTTAGAAAATCAAGAGTTCAATGTTTTCTTTCATATGTTTTCTCTCATAAGCTAGACCAGAGTAAGGGAGGAAAAGAAAGGAAGCCATGAAAATAGAAGGGAGATCAGCAGAGTAGAGAAAGGGATGGGGAGTGGTGGGGGGGGGCAGTAGGAAAAAGGAGGAAAGTGGAATGAAATTGACCAAATTATGCTATGTACATATATGAATATACCACAGTGAATTTCACCTTTATGTATATCTATTTCTATAAAACACCAATTTTAAAAAAAACTATGAATGAATAGAAGCATGCCCAGTAGAGGAGGGAGAATAGAGAAACGGAGAAGAGTAGGAAAAGAGGAAAGACTAGAAACCAAAGTGGAGCAAATTATATTCCATGCATGCATATCAAAATGAATCTCAATATTATGTTATTACTATAATACACTAATAAAAACATTAAAATTTTTAAAAACCAATAGAGATGGCAGATTCACACACACACACACACACACACACACACACACACAACTGGTCAGAGTAATTTTACCATTAGCCAATGAGGTGTGACCCAGAGTTTAACCAAAGGACTAAGACGACCTGCTATAGTGAGGACTATATCTCACTGATTTAATACACTTGATAGTTAAAGCATGGGGCCTGGGTGAAGGTGTGGAAACATTAAGTCCAGAGGTCTGTATCAAAAGGGGTATGAGCTACATGTTAAAGAAGTGCTCGATTTAGTTGAGGCTTTAAAAGACAGATCTCGAACCAAGAGCTAGAAGTTATAGGGAGCCAGACTGGACTGCCTTTGAGGCGGGGAGCTCTCAATTTCTGAAGAAACCAGGCAGAGTTGTGAAGGTGAAGGGGATGCTAGAGATGAAATTCAAAAATTAGATAAAAGAGAGATGGACCTCAGAGCTGATGTCTCTTACTACTCTGACAGTCTTTTCTACCTTAATGAATAAAATGTTATGAGAATGTAATGGTAATAATGTGTGAACATGCTCAGAAAAGTAACAAGCTCTTCTAAACCCTGTCATTCCTTAGATGGCAATTCTTTATCCAAACTCACAGATACCCTCACCTTCATCTGCTATTCAATCAGGTACTTTAGGACAGCAGGCACTCTAAGTAAGCATCACTAATTTATCCTTTCACTAATGACAGCTTAACTCTGGCAGATCAAGACTAAGGCAAGGTTGAGGGATGAATTCATGAAGCATGCAAGCTGTGTTTGCTGTGTTTACTGAAGGCAAAGCTTCTCTAACTTCCACCTGAAATATGTAGAGGTGAGTGACTACCCATCTCCAGAGGCCAGCTCTGAGGGACAGCCGACATAAGAATAAAAATTCATCAGTCTTCTCTGCTATCTTAAAATGTCAAGTAATCATATAGAACATAAGCTTCGTTTATTTATAATGTGCATACACTGTGATGAAGCCATTCATGGCTCTCAACTGATTCCTGGCATCCTTGTGTTTCTAGTTCCACTGTCAAAAGACTCCCATCCCAGAGGTGCCATCATGTAACTGGCCCAGAACCACAAAGCCAGTAGGGGGTGGGGCAGAGTCAAACCCAGGCAGTCTAGTTCTACAGCCTGCTCATGACTACTAAGCTATGCTGAATTCTCTTCCAATATATATCCACATTTGTTTTAATACTCTTTAAATGTCATTTCTTCCAAATCTTTGGATAAAATGTGACCTTTGAGGAAGACATACCACACTCACCTTGTGGCTCTGCCCCCACGCCAGTGCCTTATAGTGCACCCTGGAGCTAGACAAATGCAACTTTGCCAGAACTCATCAGCCTGGCCAGGCATGGGCTAGCAGCCCCTTCCTCCCAAACATTGAAACAGCCCTCATATTCTTTTAGGCACGAACTTCATTAACAATCAAGATATCACAAGCACCAGTTGTTTGTAGCATCTTTAAAATGAAAAATCCATCCCTAAGCTAAATTATAGTACGTTAATTACAGAGCCTGGCTGATGACAGACACACTGAGAGGAAGACTGACTGAAGAGGCTGACTGAATTTACCAATAGGAAAAGCAGATGCACGAAAGACTACATATGTCTGGGTCTTCCTCCAATAAAGACACCAGGGTTGACCCTGACTAGGGATCAGTCTTGGGAAACTGGCAAGGAAGGATGCCCATCCACTCATTTTTTCAACTAATGCTTGCTGAGCACCAAGTGCTAGGGACTAATCACTCACCACATGCCAGACACTGATTAGCTGTTGTGAATATACAGATTGATTAATCGACTGGTCCACTGGATCATTCACTATACACCAAATACAAAGGAATCTCATCAATATGCTAGAGATATGTCCTGGTGGCAGAGATGGAAAAATGACCATACAACGTTCCTGATCTCATGAATCTCACTTTAGTTGAGGGACACAGACAACAAATAAATGTGCAAAATGTCAAGGGGCAAATGCTATGAAGGAAGACACAGCAGAGTAAGGTGGTACAGTAGGGATGTGCTGTGATATTGGGCAGAGGCCCAATAGGAATAAGGGCACAAGCTGGGAGATTGAGGGGAAGAGAGTGCCAAGGAGGAAAAGGCCCAGAGAGGCTTCAAGGAATAGCAAGGAGGGCCAGAGCAATTAGAGCAGATCTGTGCTTAGCAAAAGGGAGAAGTGAGTGGCTGAGATGATTAATCCAGAAGCCATTTTGCAAACCCACTGCTGACATCTCACAGTTTATCATTCACACATCACTATAGGCCTTTGATTCCCAACAAAATTGAAAAATTCTGCAAAACACAGCTAAGCTTCTATCAGATATTTACCCAGCAGTGTCTCAGTGTTCTCTGAAGTCTCCTAAGAGTGGGCTTTGGGGTAGGGAAAGGAGAATAACCCTGTTGGACAAAGAAGAGTTGTTGAAGTTAGTCTGTCAGTAACAAAGTGATATGATCTTTAATTTAAACTCCTTCTTGTTTGTTGGACTTAAAGCTAACTTATAAACTGCCTAGTCAGTGAGGACGATTTGGGCAGAGCACCAGATAGCCTTTGAGCACTGAAGACAGGTTTACTGATCTCACCATTTGTTCATCTAGGTACCCAAAGATATCCAGGTCAGTGATGACCTCAGTCCACACACACCACCATGGTGCCACCATTAACCCAGGTGAGCCCTGTTGCCACATTGACTCGGACTCCATCTTCCCCTCGCTACTCCCCCACTCCGTCATAGCTACCAGGGGCCAATCATTCCCCCCTGTACAGCTCTAGAAATCTGTATCCCATCACACCCAAATAAACAAAGCATGCACAGACACTATAATCACTTGCCTGTGTGTCCTCTGCCACCACTGAGTCCCCATCAGCCCTCATCCTAATGCCTTCAGCCTCCCGAACTCTTAATCGCCAGAAAGAATTTCAATGAAACCAAAATCTGATGTTGGTGTTCTAACTAAAAAGCCTCCAAGTCTCCATGGCTCCCCCTTGCCAACACAACACCGTGAGGATGTGGCCTGGCCTTTAAGGCCCTGCACATGATGAGCCAAACAGTGATTCCCAAACACATCCCACATGGTCACACTTCTGTTGGTGCACAGTAGGAGAACAAGCCAGATGTTCACTTACTTCCAAGGCTTCCCATCTTGGCACTTGCTCACTGATTTGAGCCTGTTCCTCTCACTAACACTGCCTAAGAAAGAAGTCTGGGGTTTTCAGAACCTAACCTTCCCTTCCCTACATTCTCCTCATCCCACCACTCCCTCAAACATGTCCCCCATCCTCTCATCCCCACAGCCCCATGTTTAGCTCTCATCTTTGTTCATGAGGATTTCTGCAAGAGCCTGCTAACCTGTGTTTCCCTCCTAAGCTTACCAACTTTCTCAAGCCCTAAGTGACGCAAACATTTCTAAATCCTAAAACCACTGTTCATGGAGGCAGAGTAAAGGATGCCACAACTTGCCTATCCCACACATTTTCCCTTATTACCAGCAAAAAGCAGTGTGGTAAGAAATGGAAAATCACTGTAGAAGCAGAGGTGAGAGCTGTATACCTCTTCTTTAGCAAATGGGTATGGATGACTAACCTAAACTTCATACATTAAAAGTCTAGTTACTGGAAACATTTTAGCCAAAAAAATATCCCTGGCATACATACACATTACTCTATACTGCAGGGTTAACAACCAACTAAATCATGTTAAGCTAATAATGAGAAAGCCAAGTTGACAGCAATTGATAATTAAGCATCTAGATTCCCAGCCATTACAAACTGTCACAAATTCATGGCCTCACTGACACTGCCCTGATAGCATGCTGTTTCCAAGATCTGCAGAAACTCCAAGCAGAGTGTTCATGCTAAGAGGGACCAGAGACACAACAGTGCTAAGCACAGCAAGGTCCTGGCCTCCCAGAGGAACACAGAATAGAGTCATCCAGAAACTCCAGCAGGGCACTAACAAGACCAATCACATTTCGGTAACTTCACATCTTTATGATTACTGGTAGCTAGCTGCAGTCATGTCTTATACTTGTGAGCCCAGAATTTTGAGTCTTATATCCACAAGAACTGATAAAAAGACTGACAGAAAAATCAGAATAGGATCACCACCCTTCAGGAGGTCTTAAGGAGTACTGTTCATGTCTACAGAATCCTGATTCTAAAAGACAAATCTGATCTAGCAACTCACTAGCATAAAATTCTACAGTGGTGTTCTTCTGGCCTGTGGAATAAAAACCAAAACCCCTGTTCAACCTGGTCCCCAAAGAAGGTCCTGCACAATCTGGCTCTAGCCCATAGTTTAGTGCTTACTACCCTCCCCCCATGACTGTCGCCACATGCCCTACCACCCTCCTCACAGTTTTCTGGGCATGACATGCTCTGGTTAACTTCCCTGGCCACCTAACTACACAGCTGTCTGAAATGCCCACATGCACTTCTTTCCCAACCCCTCCCACTTGACAAACACTTTGCTAAGACCCATTTCAAGGGTCACATGACTTTCTACTCCCCAAGATGAATGAGGGGTCCACATCTGTGCTTCCATGCATCTGGCAGAATCTGGACCACCCTGTTTACCACACAATTAAGAGTATAAGATCACCTTGTCTGATATTTTCATTACAATCTTTACTATAACTCATTAGGAAGCACAAATCAGAACCTAAAACATTTCAAATTCAAGATCGTAGAAAAGTTATCTTAATTTGAGGTCATGGTACAACAAAAATCCAGTTGGAATTCAGTTTTCCCACTAATTACCTTGAATAGAAGGCCTGGAGAGGGAGGGAGTGTCATTAACCAAGTTCATGCATGAGATGTGTGCTTATGTATGCACACCTCCTCAAACACACACAAGAGGAAAGCTCAAAGCAAAGATGACACGCAGGCTTTAGAATACAAGGAATGTATTTAAAACAAAAGCTGTACACTAATTTTTAAGCTTTGTTTCTTTTTTCCTTTCCTCTGTAGAATAACAGTCTTTTCTACTAGCAGCCTAAAATCAAATTTCTTTCATGATTTCCTGAGCTAAGATGTTGGACATTTTTATATGTAAATATTTAGGTGAGGGACTACTTGGGGAGTACCAGAAGGCATTATAATTTTATTTGATTACACATTTGTTATTAATTTATTAAAGTTCCAAATGAAATTGCATCCCACCTGAGTTCTAGGAGTTGATATTCTGGGATTTAAAGGAATAATTCACTCCCTATTCTACTTCCCAAAACACAATATCCATTCGAAGTACATCTTTGAGAACCTCATGGCTATTTATTGCATTTAGAAAATCAAAGTCATTGCAATCTTCCAAAGAAGTCAAGAGTGAAGGGAAATAGTCTCAGAAGCTATAACAATATGAAGCCAACAGAGCTGTGGAGTACACAGCTAGGCTGGGGCCAGACCATGCAGTCCTCTTCACAGGCCATGCAGGGCATATGGGCTTCACCCAAGTGCAGTAGGAGGTCACTGACAGGTTTTGAGTAGACCATGTGGAGTGAAATCATATGACAAGTATATTTTAATAATTAACTAGGCTACCACCAATTCAAAGGCCTTGGTGATAACCTAGGTAAATGATGATGCTGGCTTGGAGGTGGGAGGGCAGTGGATGGATTCAAGATCCACTTTGGAAGAAGCATTGTTAGAACTTGATCATTTGAAGGAAGAGAAAGGTAAATATTAACATTTAACTCCCAGGTTAGAGCCTGAAAAGTGAATTAACAACTGTATACCTTAATGAGATGGAGGGGAGGAAGTAGGTCCAGAAAGGGGCTAATGGTAGAAGATGAGCAAGAGTCAAAACTTTGACACAGTAAGCTTGAGGTGCCCAAGTGAAAGCCATGTTTGCTTACTGCTATAAAAGGATTAAAAAGTACTGCACAACACAGAGGAGTCAGGTGGAATGATGGGCACCTGGTCCTCACTGGGAACTCTCATGGTGCTTGAATGTCCTACCACTGTGCCAACTCAAGTTGGGGTATGGCCACAGAAGGAGCTTATGGCACCAAATTCAGTCAGGACATACACAGTCGCTTTTACTATGATCCTTAGTAACAAAATACCAGCCTTGGGATTAAGAACACAGTTAAATGGTATTTTCATCTAGAAGTGTGTGGCCAGACACACTTTCTTTAAGACTTAAGTTTTAGGTTTGCTAATTTTTTCTTTTTTTTTCTTTCAATACTGGGGATTGAGCCCAGGGTCATTCTGACTGGACTCAAATTTAGATCCTCCCACCTCAGCCTCCTGAGTCACTGGGACTATAGGCCTGCATAACCTTTCCTGGCTAAGATTTCCCAGTTTCCTGATGCTGATGTTTAAGGATTCCCAGTAAAAGGGAATATCAGTATTTGGTCTTGGTCCCTGACACTTATACACTTGGGAGTACCATACTATCTAGAGGATTCCAGGATAGAGTCTCCCATAGGAAATGTTAATCCAAGGTGGTAGTACAAGAAAACCTCTCAACAAAAATGGTCACAGAGGATGGCCTATTTTACATGCAATGGTTTACCCAAATCAGGTCCCAGTCTTCAGGCATTACACCCGTTTCTAGACTAGAATCTGGGTTTTTATTATGATGGGTCTATTTTCTAATTTCCCCATCAAAAGCAAATCAAAATGTCAGTTCACAATCTGCTTTCTAATTAAAAGTCGAGCTATTTTTTTTAAAAAAATCACATTTAACTAAACAATTCCACATGGCAATCCCACTGTGCTCTGCCACCTTGACTGATAGATAGAACAACTTGCCTTATTTAAATATCATTATCATTAGATACAACTAGAGTAAGCTGATTGAATTCTTGTTTAGTATCATCCAGTTTACTCATAGAGTAAGATAATGCAGCATTTAAGTAAAATACATTTCCTGCATTCAAGAAAACCCTCACAGAAAAAAGCAAAAAACCACTTTCAATACTGACTGGAAGGTCCCCAGGAGGAATATGCCTTCTTATGCAAGAAAGCTAACTGGTTGGAGTGTGGGAAACACCAGGGTTATATTGCATTTCTCAACAGAAAGTCAAGACTATTTCTGAAAGGAACACTAAGGTGGGTAAAGGACAGAACTTCCAGGTTTTGTGGCAACAGCAGTTTGCCACAGTTTCCAGAGGGAAAAATCAGGATATCACATGGGAGGTAAAAAGTGAATTCAGTTCACATTGGCTTGTGACTTTATACAAGACACTGAGCTTCTGAGTTTGTTTCCTGACTCTGAAAATGAGAAGTGACCAAATACTTGGTAGAATAAGAAAATCTGACATGTGTAGAAACACAAAAGGGAAACCATTTTACAAATGTAAAAGACAAATGCAATTACCTTGGGGCAGGAAAGATTGGGACAAGTCTTCCAAGAAAATGGTAACCAAGAAAACCAATGAAGTGCAAAAGGATCTTCTTTGGGATATTTAACAGGTGCATGAACAGTCTGAGAAATGCAATCTGCTAACTAGTTCATTTAACTCAAAAAAGGTTTTGGTGCAGAAAGATGGGTAAAAATGCAACTGTTCATTGACTAAAGTAGCACAGGGGTTCATATGGATGTAAAAGGCAAGCCAGGCAGCAGAGAAGAGCAGCCATAACCACAGCAAGACCAGAACCCCACCACAAGACCCCTCCTCATGCAACTCCCATTTGACACCAGCCAAAGGACACAGAGGTAAGCTGGGGAGGCACCTGAAAAGGTCTTTGAGGATAAATAGGAAAATGGCCAGAGAGAAGAAGTAAAATATTACATACACAAAAGGGCACGTTTCAGGAATAACAAAGACAGTTATATCTCCCCAAAGATGAATTTCCCCTATAAGAGAATTTTTACCTTGTCTTCAAATTCAAGAATCACTGTTTCAATAATTTCAGCAAAATGATTTCCAGTAAAGGTATCTTGAATATTCCTGTTGAGAAATTAAAATAAGAGGTATAACAGGTACATGGGTAGGGAATACCCCTCCATAGACCCCTTCTTTGGAACCCCTATCAATACACGGCTCCCCTCCTCAAGAAACTGGCAGGGGATGAACATCTACCACCACTGTCAGCCACCCTGTCCCCATCAGACAGAATGAGAATCATGCAGCCCCTAAATTAGAGGGGTATTCCTGCTCCAGTTCCCAGCAGGAATGGTCAAGCATTCCTGAGCAAACCATCCCCTAACTTAAGCTGGCAAGAGAGCACTTCTCTTTCCTATGACCAACAAACACCAATTTTAAAATGAGAGATCCAGAGTCAGGTCTCAAAAAAGAAATGAAAGTGAAGGAGACTCAAGATGGCGAGCTAAAGGGAAGTTGCATTCCTTGGCTCCATGACCTAGGATTCAAGCAGTGGGAATACTTTTGCTCTGTGAGTTATTAGAGAATCCTGGACAACTGCACCCATCAGGACGCCCAGCCAGCACACCCATGCAGACCCCCCATCTACCACCATGGCACTCTCCCAGTCGCCTCCATCTTGGGACACTGCAACCCAGTCCCCTCCACATGGTAGCCTGCACCTGGGGACACTGGACAGGATGTAAAAGCCCAGCCAGGCAGCAGAGAAGAGACAGCCGCCCACTGTACCACTACACACCATAGAGCTGCATCTCCAAACATGTAGCCCACTGCCACTGCCCAGCCATCTCTAAAAGCGGACACCTCCATCTTGGGACACCTTCATCAGCATCTTGGGTTATGCTCACTACCACCATCTCCATATTTAGTTGGAGCAACTCCCATCTTGAGATACTGGCTGGGACCCAAAAGCAATATTAAGGTACCAACAGTCCTCCAACCACCCTGCGCCCCCCCACCCCCCACCCGCACATAGCCACTACCCTGCACAGTCCTTGCAGCTATGTGGCCAGCCAGTAGCTTGCAAAGCCTGGTATTAATCTGCCCAATACAAAACAGCTCTCTGCAATAGGTACACAGGCCCCAGACCACAGTCCAACAGGACCTCAGAGAAAGAGGTTTCTGATTGGGAAGTAGAAAGGGAGGAGGTGAGTGTGAACAGTTTGAAGACTAAATTAGAGACCAGGAATCGTGGAGTCAGTCTACAGGGGATATAAAGGGATAAGACCAGGTATCCACATCACACAAGTGGGCTCCAAAGGAGATCCTTGGATGCAGTCTTCCAATTAGGAACAGGAAAAGCTATATCCCACCTCCAGGAGCTCCACCCCCAAGACCAACCCTCCCACCCTAATAACCTTCACCATCCTGAGGGTGGAGATACCAGCAAACAACAGACAGCCCCACCTACCAGGTGAGAAGGAAAGCAAAGAAGATACTGAACTTCAACAGAAACAATCCCTTAATTTTCCTTAGAGATTTGTTTTTCTTTCTTTTCTTTCTTTCTTTTTTTTTTTTTCATTTCTCTCTCTCTCTTTTCCTGCCCTCACATCCCAAACATTTGTGAAAGCAAGTACTTTTCATGCATTAGGCTACTGAAGACTGGGATGTGTGAATAGTATATTGCAGTTATGTTGTATAGTCTTCAATCTTTTATTTTCTTTTTCTTGATTTTTTTGTACTCTATTTTCTTCCCACTTACTTGTCCCCATAGTCTCTTTCTCTTTTCTCCTGCTACCAGCCAACTTCCTTTGATTCCTCTTTCACACTTCCTAAGATCTAACACCTCTAATCCTCACCTCCTAAATCCTTAACATCTCATCCTATACCCCCAAATTCACTCTTTATCCACCATTAGAAACTGTAGACCCTTTTGCAAACCTACTGTTTATATTGTATATAATTACTGAAATCACCATTTCTGTCTATTGCTACAAAACTGTAACATCATAATAGGAGCTATTTGGTTTAAGGCTTTGTTTGCATTGGGATCTGTTAATATTGATCTTCCCCTTAAAGAAGAGGTATTAGAATCCTTCAGGGACACTATAAGTGTACAAGGTAAAAAGTGCAATATCTCAGATCCATACCACTAGAGGAGAAGACACATGAACAACATGAAAAAACAAGGGAAGAAAGTCTCTAAACAAACCAAGATACTACATTATTAAAATCCATGGCCAGCACAGAAGAAATGTCAGAGGAGTTCAGGAGGTATGTAATTAAAATATTCTGCAAATTAAAGGATGATATAAGAGAGCAAACACAGGCAATAAAAGATCATTTCGATAAAGAGCTACATACGCAAATACAGGAAGCAAAAGCTTACTTCAATAAGGAGATAGAAAAGACCAAATTTAAGAATTATAAAGATAGAAAAAGACATAGAGATATAAACCAAAGGAATGAACAATAAATTCAATGAAATAATATCAGAAAAATTTTCCAAACCTGAAGAATGAATTGGAAAATCAAATACAAGAGGCTTGCAGGACAACAAGTATACAAGATCACAACAGATCCACACCAAGCCATATTTTAATAAAAATGCCTAGCATACAGAATATGGAGAGAATTTTAAAAGCCACAAGAGAAAGAAATCAGATTACATATTGGGGGGAACCAATTAGGATCTCTGCAGATTTCTCAACACAGACCCTCAAAGCTAGGAAGTCCTAGAACAATATATACCAAGCTCTGACAGAAAACAGTTGCCAACCAAGAATCTTATATACAGCAAAATTAAGCTTCAGATTCGATGATGAAATAAAAACCTTACATGATAAACAAAAGTTAAAAGGAAGCTGCACCACAGAACATCTTTGGCAAAATATTCCACGAAGAGAGAATGATAATTAGCAAAGGGAAGCACCATAGTAAAGGAAAAGCCAATCAAAGGAGAAACCAAGTCAAGTTAAATAACAAAAATAAACCAAAATGACTGGGAATATAAACCATGTCTCAATAATAACCCTGAATGTTAATGGCTTAAGCTCAAAAGACATAGACTGGCAGGTTGGATTAAAACAACAACAACAATATGCTGCTTTCAAGAGACTTGTCTCAAAGGAAAAGACATCCACAGACTGAAAGTAAAAGATTGGGAAAAAAAACATACCACTCACATGGACTGTGTAAACAAGCAGGGGTTTCTATCCTCATAAAGGATAGTAGACTTCAAGCCAAAGTTAGTCAAAAGGGATAAAGAAGGACATTTCATACTGCTTAAGGAAACCATACATCAACAAGACATAACAATCCAAACACATACAAAATATTTTATCCATCAATGAGTGAACACATTTTCTACTCAGCAGCACATGGATCCTTCTCTAAAACAGACCATATATTATGCCACAAAACAACTCTTAGCAAATATAAAAAAAAAAAATATGAGTTACTACCCTACATTCTATCAGATCATAATGGAATAAAATTAGAAATCAACAATAAAACAAAAATTAGAAGCTACTACAACACATGGAGACTAAATAATATGCTATTGAATGAACAATGGATAGCAGAAGACATCAGAGAGGAGATTGAAAAATTCTTAGAGGTAAATGAAAACACTGATACCACATAGGAAAATCTCTGGGACACTATGAAGGCAGTACTAAGAGGAAAGTTCACTGCATGGAATTCATTCCTTAAAAGAAGAAAAAGTCAACAAATAAGTGACCTAACATTACATCTCAAAGTCCTAGAAAAAGAAGAATAAATCAACATCAAAAGTAGAAGAAGACTGGAAATAATAAAAATCAGAGCTGAAATCAATGAAAATAAAACAAGTGAAAAAATTAACAAAAAATTGGTTTTTTGAAAAAAATAAATAGAATTGATAATCCTTTAGCCATGCTAATGAAGAGAGAGAGAGAGAAAAAACTTGGATTACTAAAATCTGTGATAAGAAAGGAAATATCATGATGGACACTACTGAAATACAGAAGATAATTAAAAACTATCTTGAAAATTGATACTGTAATAAAATAAAAAATATCAAAGACATCAACAAATTTCTAGAGTCATATGATCTACCCAAACTGAATCAGGATGATATATGCAAGTTAACAGATCAATTTCAAGCAATGAAATACAAGGCGCCATCAAAAGCCTACCAACCAGGCTAGGGATATAGCTGGTAGAATGTTTGCCTCGCATGCACAAGGTCCTGCACAAGCCTACCAACCAAGAAAAGCCCAGGGTCAGAGGACCAGAGGAATTCACAGCTGAGTTCTACAAGGCCTTCAAAGAAGAATACAAATACTCCTCAAATTATTCCATGAAACAGAAAAAGAGGAAACCCTTCCAAACTCATTCTATGAAGCTAGTATCACCCTGATACCAAAACCAAACACAGACACATCAAGGAATCAAAATTTCAGACCAATATCTCTAATGAACATAAATGCAAAAATTCTCAATAAAACTCTGGAGAATCACATACAAACATATATTTTTTAAAATAGTGCATGACAATCAAATGGGGTTCATCCCAGGGATGCAAGGTTGGTTCAACATACAGAAATCAATAAATCTAATCCATTACATCAATAGATTCAAAGATAAGAATTACATAATCATCTCAATAGATGCAGAAAAAGCATTCAACAAAACACAGCACCTCTTCAAGTTCAAAATACTAGAAAAAATTAGGGATAATAGGAAAATATCTCAACATTATAAAAGCTACCTATGCTAAGCCCCAGGCCAACATCATTCTAAATGGAGAAAAATTGAAAGCATTCCCTCTAAAAACTAGAACAAGACAGGGATAGCCTCTTTTACCACTTCTACTTAACACAGTCCTTGAAACTCTAGCCAGAGCAATTAGAAGAAAGGGATACAAATATGAAAAGAAGAACTCAAACCATCAATATTTGACAATTATAAGATTTGATACTTAGAGTTCTGAAGAATTCCATCAGAAAACTTCTAGAACTAATAAATGATTCAGCAAAGTAGCAGGCTAAAAAATCCACACCCATAGATCAAATGCATTTCTGTACATCAGTGACGAATCCTCAAGAGAAATGAGGAAAACTACCCCACTCACAATAGCCTCA